ACTAGGAGCAAGGACGCTACTAGGCGCTCCTGGCATCGCTACTAGGAACAAGAAACTACTAGGGGCTCCTGGCCTTACTACTAGGAGCAAGGACGCTACTAGGGGCTCCTGGCATCGCTACTAGGAACAAGAAACTACTAGGAGCAAAGGGCCTCGCTACTGGGAGCAAGGACGCTACTAGGGGCCACAGGAGCATACAGGAGCAAAGGACGCTACTAGGGGCCACAGGAGCATACAGGAGCAAGGACGCTACTAGGGGCCACACGTTTGGTAGACATGGCTGTGTTCGTCTCAGGTGTCTGTTGTGGACAAATCAAGGAAGGTCCTGCCTTTCGTCTCTCACAATCATAGCCTCACAGACAGGGCAATATTCATGGCATTTCATGGCCGCATTTGCATGTGGGCCATGTCACTTGCGGTGTCTGGAGAGTTTGGTTTTGACAGGCACCGTCGATGCGGATTTGGGAAGAATTGGACTGTCTTCCCGATGAGAGACCAAACATTGTACCGCAAATGCACATTCAATAGGTACTATGATAGGTAAGGGTGGGTTGTGCAATTTCCATATTGGTGCCTCACACTCAAACCGCCTCCGACCACCACGACCAACACGCCTTCTCTTGCTCTGAGCCCTGACCTCAGCATCTGCTGCGGGTGGTTGCAAATACACCGAAACTATCGGCAAAAACAAACAAACATATGGAATGACCATATTTTCTATAGGAAGGTGATTTCGGATTTGGAATTTAGGGATCATCTCTCAACAAGCAAAAGGCTGGCAAATGAGGCAATCATCAAATTTACTTTCAGTTCGCACCCAACTTTGGAACTACTTATTCAGTGGTGCATGGTGGTCAACTCAGCAGAAGCATCTGAAATAGTTGCTTTTTGGAATGTGGACCACCTTACGTCTAGGCCACATGTGATGATAGAATTCCCGCAGTTTGCAATCCATCACCGGTTCGTGAGCACCATTTGGACCTCTGGGATCCTCTGGGCCCTGCTGCATTTGTCAGGATGGTGCTGCAGCGCCAAATGCCTGTAAGCCTCCATCAAGCGAACGGGAGGTGATGTTTTGGCCCAGGAGTAATGTCCAAACACTCTCATAGTGACTCATGGGACTGGAATCATCGCATATATGCCTACATTAACCCCGACTCAGCCACTCCAATGTATGTAAATATGCCAGTCTAGCACAAACAGCAGAAGTAGTTTGAAGATGTTAGAAGAGGGTTACAGTAGTAGAAGTAGTAGTAGTAGCAGCAGCATCAGCAGTAGTAATCGTAGTAGCGGTATGTGATGTTATGTGATGGCATTTGTAGTTATGGGCCGGCCGGCTGGGGCTGTGGTTTTCGAAGCTCCCGGTGGGATCTCGAACCAAGCTTGATAACGGAGGCCCAAAGTGCTTGGTGTCGAAGGCTGTGGGTCATGGCACCAGGAGACCGTTGACCCACCTTGGTGTCGGTCCTTCCATACATATGTGGACTGGTCGGGCGATCATGGTGGGTCACGACCTATCACCATATCATGAAGACTGAAGACCGTCTTAAAGACCCAACCATCCCATGGATTTCCAAAGAATTCATATCGAAGGAAAGTGAGATAGGACCTGTGAAACGATTGGGACAAAATGAACGTCATTCGCCCTCAGTATCGGCTCCTGCTCCCAAGTACGCTCCGACCTTGTCCGACCGGCGCCGGCAGGGAACGCCGCGCGCCGCGCCTGTTTGATCTCTGCCGCCGTGGCGTCCGGCGCCACGCCCAGCACGGCGTAGAGCGGCCGGGCTGCGGCGAACGCGGCGAGTCCGAGGGGGAAGAGATGAAAAAAAGGTGCAAAGGACCGGTCTATAGGAAGAAGCCTCGTGGAAGTGTGCCTAACTTGGGGGCTTGAGACGGGAGGGTGCCATGCAATGCTGTTGACTTGAGACTTGGCGACTTCTTATCTGAATCATCTTGGTTCGCATGAAATTGTGCATGCGAAGGACTAAAACATAATGTCCTTTTGGACCGTTGGACATCTCAGCAGTGCCAGAAGCAGTGCCAGGTCCACGCATTGGGAAAGAATCTCCAGGCGCAGAGTCCCAGAGTATTCCTTTAAGAGCGAACAAACAAATCCTGGGCCCCTGGGCGCTGTCGGATTGAAAGGAAAAGTGTCGGGATTCACCATTGGAGCGCCGGAGCTGGTGCGTTGGTGATTCGGGGTCGCGTAGCCGTGCAGCCAATGTCTTGCAGCCCAAATGTAGAAAGAGACCTGCACACCTCCCAAGAAAACAAGTGGGTCTGGGCCCTGGGTCCACAACATCCTTCAACCCTCGAATACCACCCCAACGCATGGCGCGCATGGCGCGCTGCGCGCATTGCGCATCACCTTCGTCACCCATTGCATTCAAGGATGCTGCACCCGGAAGCTGTGAAGAACATCTGCAGTGGTTGATGATTTGGAGCTGTTCCGTATAGGACCTGCTTTATGAATCAAACTATCTAGGAGTTCCTCCGGTCAGACTTTCATCGTAGGACATCCTTCAATGATGGGGCTGCTTGACCCTGAGCAGCATGATTGACAGTTACAATCACCTCTTAAAAGTTCCCCTCTCCTTTTTATGTTCAATCGATTGAGTATGTCCAAGACATGACGAGAAATCGGATTTGACGATCTGACTTCCAGGTTGTGCTGACCGACTAAATTTGGGTAAATGATTAAAATTACTTTGGTTTCTTCTTGCATTAAATTGTAAATGGCTACATGCAAAGCAGCAAGAGAACGGCACAAACAACAATCAACAGTTTGGGAACCCTTGGAAGGAAGCAAGCTCCTACAATTGTTTGGTGGATCAACTGGTTCGCAAGCAACTATTACTCATAACAGGCTCTTAAAGACCGTGTGTTTGGGTCCATCATGAATCGTCAACTATATCATATCCCCAATCTACCCAACTCATCCCAACGCCACATTCGCTGCACCAAATCAGGGCATCCAACGCATCAAAACCCCAGGCTGAAAGCCAAAAATCATTTGCATTAACTCTTTGAGATGCTGATGTCACCCGCACTCGCTTCCTTCCTTGTCTCGTTCCTTCCTTTCTTCAATCCTCGTTCTCTCCCTTCATTCCTTCACAGGGAATCCGGGACCTTCGATCGAAAGCCATCGGACCAGCACCATGAAACTCTGCGCCAAGTGAGATGGAGCGTTGATAGCGATAGCGCCAAGGGTTCTCAGAACGAAAGGATCAACATGAAGGATCCGCACAATTTCAGTTCAACCCATCCACCTTGCGATGAAATAGGATGACACATTTTCAGGACACTTCTTCAAGTCCTGCTCAGGTCACTGTTGCACGCGAGGGCCCAGGGCAAAAAACACATCTAGACGAGGCCAATGAGTTTATGTGCATCTGCATATCCTGACTCTGGACCATCAAAAGAGCCTTTGACAGAACGAAGTTGAAAAACTGGAGAGGTATAAGTGAACACCTTTAAATGATAGACCCCGGCAAACACTCAAATTCTTGAGCCTGAGCATGTGCACCTCCCCAGCCGTGGGAGACCTTGCCTCCGGCCGCAGGGTTTTGGGAGCGCGCTCTCTTTCGGCCGCGGCGTTGGGGTGAAACGTCTCTTAAGGGAGGTCCCAGTGGATGTCAGAAATACAGAAGGCCATCGTTGAGACAGTCGTCTTCTAATGTCAGGATGAAACAACTCCCCGATTAACTTTTAGATTATACAATATACAATATATATATATATACAATCATAATTTATACTCAATCATACACAATCTCAGTTTACTGAACGGCTGAGTCCTGCGGAACTCAGAACTATAGACTTGCAAAACGACGAAGGGTTTCCTGCTGCTGCCCCTGGCGGACAAATTCCACGTCGTTCTATGACTTGTGACCGTGCTTGAAACGTTTACAACTTATCAGCTGTCGAAATCTGGAATACTTACTCGTAGAACTATAGACCAGGAGTTTTCATGGCGCCTGATCTCAAACGCTTTAAATACCTTTCAAGAAGTGTTTCATCGCTGCGCCATGAGTCAGGCACCGAACCCTGAGAATCGACCCTGATCACGGCCCACAAAAGGACTCTACTTCGGTCGGACATGGAGAACGGGAGAACCCCCCAACAGATAGTCGGTCGGACGATCCACACGGGCCTCTACAGACTTCTCTCCATCGAGATATCGCCCTGAAGTCATCAACCCCCTTCATCTGACGAAGACACGCGGGGCTGCCGCTGCGGCATCTCAAAAGGAGGGAGGTCTCGATAGTCGACCCCTTAAGCGCTACATGGCTTCGATGCTTGGCAAACATACCAAATTCAGCCACAAATTGCTGCATGCATATCGCAGGCAAGCTGGCATATTGGGAAAAAAAAGGACGGAGAGTGGCCAGTCGGATTTTTCTCCAGCCCATCTGTGAACTCCCCCACCCGACCCAACCATCTGTGGCCGGCCAGTCTCCGGTTTCATGCAGTAATTACTGGTTTCGCCATACCGTTTCGCAGGCTCAACCCCTCACAATGAATGAGGCCACAAGCACTAAGAAGGCCTTGGTGAATCTGCGCATGACCGATCGCTGATCATGGCAGGAAAATCATTGAGGCACAGATTGATTGTCTGGCAATTCCATATAATTATTGTTCAAGTGGAAATGTGCAATTTCTTGGGTCCCAATCTGTGGTTCAAATGCATAGCTGCTGTGGCAATTCGGGCGATGGTCCCTGGAATCAACTGACTGAATGCAGGAGCTTGCAGTGGGTTGCAATTATATACCCGGATATACCCGGTTATACCACCAGCTCAGTATCTGCTGAGGTGGTGGTACTAGCCACACCAAAAGCAGAAGCAGAAGCAAGTATAAGTAGAACGAATCTATATGGCATATGGTGTTTTCCGGTGTTTTCATGTTTCCTTTTTTCCACAGGAACCCTTCCATTGCATGACCTTCTTGTTCCCACCCCCGACATTCCAGTGACGGTTGGAACAAGTGTGATCGAACTCATGGAGAGGAACCGCTCGAGCGCTCCTCTGCAGCTGGAGCGCAGCGATCCCGGCAACCAGTAGTGGTATTACAAAACATTTACAACTCTCAGGGTGGGGCGAAATAGCTTAGCTCCAGCCAAGAGCTCAACTAAAAGCAACAATTGATTGTTTCATACTTTTTTCAACTAAAAGCATAGTCAAAATGCAAACCCCCCATTTTCATCCTTTTCGGATCTGACCGCCGTTCTCGACATGCTCCCAGGTCGCTGCTTTTTCGGGTCTTCCGCCCCACCGCCCGAGGCAAAGGCGAAGGGATCTGTGCGAACAAGTGTCGTTGGTGTGCCAGGCAGGAGCCGAATTGAGCTCGGTGCGCCAAGAGCAGCCTGGCTGCGGCAGCTCAGCTGATTGGTCCCGTGACGACTGAAAGAGAAGAACACACAAGAAGATACCGTCAAAGACTTGTTTGTCCTGCTGAATCACTGCTAAGGGCTTGAAGATTCAGTGGCTTAGTAACTAGCAAACCCCTTGTACCCAACAAGGCTTTTTCAACAGCGTTCAAGGGTCCAATGGTCCAAGAGTACGACATTTGGACATCAAGAATAGCACAACTTTGGGAGCCTCGCGAAACAAAAAACATGCGCTGCCCAACTACTTGTGCTGACAAATGCGGGTCCAAGATATGGCGGTCATGGCACCTGGGCACCATGTGCCATGACCGGGTCGTTCATGAACACGTTTTTTTTTTCCAACTTGCAAACGATGTCTACCTACCGGGCTATGTCAACCTACTAGGCTTTGGGGCTCCGGGTGTTGAGCAATGGCACCATGTCACCAAGCAGTCTTGCCCCCAAAGAAGGGACGCGGTGCGTCCAAAGGCACTAAACACATCTATCCAATCCCCCCTTGGAAATTGGGTAGATACCCGGTCAGGTGTCATCTTAGGTGGCCTTCCAAGTTAGGCATTGCGATTGAGTAATTCTTTCATGGATCCAAACATGACCTCTCTTGGACCGACTGACCGTTTCTCAAACGGCCGATCAATGGTGGTTGAACATGTTGAAACAGGGTCGATGTAGGTGATACGTTCCTGTCCCATGGAGTGTCTATCAATCATCTTTCACACTATGAGGCAGGACAAGACAATTCATTTCAATTCCACCCAACTTCTTCTATTTTTCCTTGCGCAAACGACACTTCTTGCGCTATCCCAACGACATTCCCACGACAACAGTCCCTGGATTGCCGTATGTCAAGCGCAAACTCCCATCCCAACGTCGTGGTGTTCTCCATCCTGTCGCTAGTTCTACCCATACCGTCAGTGGAAGTCAACGAAAGGTCCAGGCACCTGGATCAGCTCTTTTCCAGAAAGGTAAGCTCAATCCATGTTCATCCAAAACCAGTCCCGAGAATCAAAGATGGACATGGAGCATAACCTTTCCATATACATTTCCCTTCTTCAAGGTGGTGTTACATAGGCACAGGCAAAAAAACACAGCAACTCGCTACACTACACATCTCCAATCATTTCCACCCTTCCAATGAGAGTCACGTTCGCTGACAACCTCGCCTCGAGAGCTAATGTTCAAGCTGCCCTGGCGCAGGTGGACAAATGAATATAGGCAGTTCTGACAGGCTTTTACTGAGAGGGTTTTCCTAGTAGATTCCCTAGGACTTCCAGCTCTGCAAAAGAACAACTAGAATCCTAGGACCCTTGGAAGCGCGGACCCAGCCAAAACAAAAACCCTGATCTGATTGGTTGATCTTCCCTTTATATACTCACAATATCTCACAATTCTCACCAACACAAAATGACAGTAATTACCAATCCTCCACACATCACAAACGTCACAAAGTTCCAAGCTTGCCTTGCACTTGGGAGGATGGAACAAAAACCACCAAAGCCAGGCCCTCCACTTCCCATAAGCAAAGGAACGCAAGCCTTTCCTCGCCCGGAACCAATGGCCCCCGGAAGCCATGATCATTTCAGGGTCCCCTGAGGGCGCTCCGAATCGAACAAATCCCTTGAGGTTTGTTTGACCTGAGGCAGGAGGTGAGGACGGGTGAGGACGTCAAGTTCCCTACAAGTTCATGAGGTTTGGACGTCGATCTCCCAAATGGTTTGATCTGTCATTTTCCACGGGTCCAAGGTAGTGAGTAGGCGCACGTCCAGCACTGGAAGAAACTCCTGATGTGCAGAACAACACTCTTCATCCACCCAAAAGGTCCGTTGCCGAAATACTCTTCATTCACCGCCCCACTGGTCCCAGTTTTTGTTGGATACATCCTGCATTGGTCGTTTCTTCATGTTTCTTCTTAACCTCCTCCCGCCTTCGGGGTTCATCTCATTTCATCTCCCAGTTTCGCCTTTCCCCCCGACTCCCCTGACACCTAAGCTCCCACCGCATCCGCCCGCCCGCTGGGGCGTCCGGGCGCAGAACTCGTCATCCTCCGGGTTGGACGTCATCTTGGTCTCCACCTGACGTGGTCGATCGAGGTCGCGTCTGTTTTTGATCGCGAGGTATCTGACATCGGTGGACTGGACTGGATAGCCGCAAGTCAACCCAAGACCCCACAAACTCATTGCGTTTCCCTCACGTGGATCCGTTGCTTGTTCGGTATGCAAATACTAAATGATTATGCAATGTTGACAAGCTATATACAGTCGGTGTCTTCCCTTTTTTGACATCGAATCAAACATAACACACTGTTGCGGGCTTTGGAGGACACAATGACCTCGCATGTCATTCGAAGTTGTCTTGGTGCCCTTTTTGAGGTGGTCTGGATGCGGGGACGTTTTTAATGCACATGTCAGTGAATTGAAGACCACAAAAAAAGGTATGTGTTGCTAGCTAATTACTGGGCATTGTAAGATACGTCTTAGTGGTTCCCACTACAGGGACCGTTCCACTCTGATGGGACCTCAAGTAGTAAGCCCAAGTTCAACTGACCCATTGCCAAGAGCTGGGTCATAGGGAGACTTCAGTGAGAAGACCAAAACTGCCCACACATCCCATCTCAACCATGTTGGGACCAGGCGAAACAACAAAAAAACACATCAGACCGAGCCCCCAGGCAGTGATGGAAGACACGCAGGTGACCTGCGGTGTGCTCCGCCGTATACGTCTCCCTATCGTGGTCACTATCGTTTTGCTCAGACCGTGGTCACCATCAGGTGATGAGGTGTCTCTTGCTTTTACCTCCATGCAACCGAGTCTACCCGCAAGCTCATGCAAACTAGCTGACGCAAAAATGCACATAAGCAGCTCAGAAAAATATATAAATAAATGTATAATATATAAATAGACTTTAAAGAGGAACAACAAAAAACGTCGTCCAATGATCATGCAAATACAACATATTTGTAGCAAAACCAACCTCCTGGGCCACAGTGGAATCACTCTGCAAGGCTGCCTAGAGCCTAGCCTAGCCCATCAAAAAAGCGGAAGGATTAGATTCACACCGAGCAGCCCGATTGCGCTAATCAGGAACCAATGGGAGAGATTGCCAAGGTTCTTTACCACTTTCTTTGCCTTAGACACCCGTACCTCACGAGCCAAGTGAAGTAAGTTCTTTACGAATTGACGTTGAGAATCTTTAGGACAACCATGGATAACCTCTCCAGTGGATGGACTCACTAGGACTCACAAGATCTCACAAGCCACAAGAAGTAGAGGTGACCACCTGGGAACTAACATGGAAGCGGATGGCCTGGCTCCGAAAGGAAAAACCCGTGTTATCCCTTTTTCCTCTACAAACAGGGGGTGAACTCCACTCCACTTCCGTTAGTTCCAAGGAATAATATACTGTAACAAAAAGCTCTTAGAATTAAATTAACTAATAGCAACCATTGTTACTACTAGTAAGGCACTTGTTACTAGAAGCGATGCACTTGTTCCTAGTAGCGAACATTGTGTACACAAAAAACCATGCATACACAAGCGACTGGAACTTCGGACTGGAACGAACGCCACGTCCACCGAATGGACTCAGCATATCTCAGCATTGAGGTCCTTCAGAAGCGTCCCTTCCAGGTGATCCACCTGCGCCCCTTCAAAGCCAAATAGGAAAAAGGACACCCCCAAAATATCGCTGATGCCCCCCCTTTTCGGGTCTGTGAGAGTCTGTGTTTGGTTTTTGCCGAGGGACATCCCCTTCGAAGCTCTTACCCAGAACTGTTTAGAACGGCCTCGCAAGTGGTGCTGTTGCTACAGCTGGACGAGCATCTCAACCTGGCCTTCAGCAGGGGGGGGCTCAAAAAACAGTACTACCCACCCGCTGAGCCTCTGGGACTGGATATCCAAAGGACTTGTTTATCTTTACTTTTAGGATTTTAGGGACCAACATCCACTGAGATGAATGTGTGGTAGGCCATGATGATACAGATCTCTCTTTCTATTACAGTATATATAATATTATATGACCAAACTAGCAAAATAAACAAATCCATGTCAAAGGAGGTGGAACGGGCGGCCAAGAGTTGGGGTTGGTGTATCCCAAATAAGGGTGCCTAAACGCCGCTTCGGCACAAAACAGCACAATTCGATACAACTCGGACCCACACATGTTGTTGCTGTAAGTTCAGACTCAGACCCATGAAGCTCGCAAATGAGTGGATCCCGTCAAGCGTTGGGAATCGGGTTCCACGGACCCCACCGTTCGATCGATTTCGACCCGGTCGGTGGATGCGATACTTCCATGAAGGTAGGAAAGGAAGACGTAGAAAGTCGGCAAGGTTCGCTGAGGACAACCATTGCAAGTGGTTGTGTTTGGAGACACACCCTCCTGTAGGAGACAACATTCAACTCGGTGTCCTGGGTCCTGGGTCTGTCCATTGTCCCAAGCAGGGTGCCACTGCTGTTACACACGCAAAACCGTTGTTTTTGAAACTGTCATGCCTATCCACTCTGGTGGATGGGTTCCTTTTTCAACTACCCCACTGGATCTTATTTTTGTTGCAGTCAAAAAGCCTGTCAAACGGTATGGTTTAGTTGTTGTGTATCTTGTTGACCTGTTAAACCCGCAGGGTACAAGTAAGTACAAGTAACTGGTAAGGATTCAACTGGTGTTCGTACGTTTTCGGTTTCCGATGTGTTTTCATGACTCATACCTCTACTTGGTTTCCACACAAGCAGCATTATTTGTATGAACAAAGTGTGACCATATTTGGAGATAGACACTTGTGCCACAGTCACCCAAAGTTCAGGCGTTCAGCAACGCAATGACGTTCCAGCCACGTCCAACTGAGACTTTGAAGGTCGAAACAATCCAAACGAAGGGAAAGGAATCAACACATTCCCGTCCTTTTTCTGCCATGTGCTGCCATGACCACCATGCCAATCGTTGTGCCATCAAAATCATGGTGGTATGTGTCACCATGTCAGTGGTCCCCATCAAATGTTGCCATGACCACCATGTTCTGCCACACCGTTTCCACGGTTTCATGTTGACACCATCGTCCCAACCGTGACCTCCTCACAGCCAACCAAGTCAACGGCTCCTGGAGATCCGTCGCAAGATGTGCAAATGACTTCTCAGATGTTATTGTGGGTTGTTGACCATCCATCTCCAGGAAATCCCCGATGCACTTTCTCAATGGCCAACTAGCTCTTTTCAGGCCCCTTCCGCAAAAGCCCAAATAGCCTAAATGACCAGTCGTCTGGCCTGACTGTCCGAGTGCCGAACTTCATAGAATCTTCATCGACGTTGACCCTCACCAACCCATGAAGAAAAGGGTGCTGGGGCGATTGATATAATTAGTGTTCAGGTCCGCGTGTGCCCAAGCCAAGCTGGCGCTCCCTATACTTTTCAGGTCCCCATGGGCCCAGATTGCCCTCAAGCTCCCTACTGTGGTCAGGGCCCATATGTGCCCAGACTGAGCTGGCTCTCCCGATGTATTGGGTAGAGATCCACCACTAGTTGCATGCAAATATCACAATATGACCTTATAAGGTGACCTATGACCTATGGGGACCTGAGAAACGACCTGGTGCCGCTGGTGCCCACCTTTCTAAGGCAATGGGAACGGCAAAGGCTTGGAGGTTCCCACTATATACCTTGAAGACGAAGTGAAAATTCCAGGTACCGACCGATCTCAACTGCAAACCGACCGATGGGCGACCTCAAAATCATTGGTTCGACCACCAAACCGCTCAGGGTTAGACACAAACCCCTGGTCAAAGAAGGGTTTATGAAGCATTTTGGGCAGTCACATCAAACACCTTTTGGGCCATGCAAACATATGCAAAATATGGCCATCGTCCATAAAATGGTCCGAACCTTGAAAAGTAGGCCTCCATGCATGGAGTGTTTGGGATTGGTTTACTGCTCGTCCATGGCCCCTGAGGATTGACCGATTTACGACTTTGAGCTTTGCATGATCATCTGCTGGAAGCTTTGAACAAGCTCTACAGTGGGAGAGGCACTTGCTTTCATCGTGATGAGGCGTACGGCGTACAAAGAGAGAAACATCGGCATCCAACACATGATTCAAAGGAGATCTATACTATACTGTACTCCTCATTCCTTCTCTATATATACTTTAGGGTCTCTGTAGCCAAAGGACACATTATAGATATTAATGTATAGGCTAGGCATTATTTATGTAAATATATTTCCGCAACCCAGTCATCTTACAGCTCCAGGTCACTCGTTGAAGGATGGACGGGTTGAAGGATGGCGTCTCCGCGCTTTCTCGTCCGCACCTCGTTGGTTCACGTCAAAGAGGACGCTGCTGTCCAAGCTGCACCTACAGCCACAGGCTCTTAGGTTGGAGGCCATCGCTAGTAGGTTGGAGACCAGAACCGGTTGACCTACCTGGGAGGTCATGCAGCATGGCGGACTGGTCGGGCTAACATGGTGGGTCACGACCCATCCCCGCATGACAACAGCATACAACAGCCAGAATCCAGAACACTGCGCAAGCTCAATTGACTCAATGTGGCTTGCTAGATTGATGGAGTTCTGCAGTGTTGGACAAAACAAGGAAAGCTGTTGAAGCTATTGTCATGAAGGATAGAGGGAGCATAACAATGAGGGCCATGTGTGCAACTCCAAGACAAACAAGCGGCCACTGATCAAACCTGGATGAGAGGCCTCTATATTTACTGGGTGATGGCAGGGAGTGTAGCTTGTTGAGAATTAGGAATGCTAAAACACATGTCAAAACTTCCAACATCAACTACTCAACGTCACATCTACTTACCTATATGACGAGTTCTCTTTAGCTGCAAATCGGACTGGCTCACGTCTCTGAATTTGCAGAAATTATTCTTGCCTGCGCATTGCTCCCGCACATGACAGGCGGCAACAAATGCAAGTGATGTGGGCAGCACCATTAGCACCACGGCCGAGGAGCAAGAGCAAATACTGTTAAAAAAAACTTTCATATGGTAAGGCCAGAATCCTTGATTTAAAAAAAAGTCAAAATGACGTCAAAAAAAGGTCAACTGGAAAAGTCAAAGTCAAAAAAAAATCAAATTAACGTTTAAAAAAAAGTCAACCATAGACCACAGCTCGAAAAGTCCAAAAAAGTCAAAACAAAAGTCATAAAAAGTCAAACTCAAAAAAACAACTCGAAAAAGTCAAACACAAGTCAAAACATATGCAAAACAAAGTCGAACGAAAGTCAAAAAAAAGTCGAAAACACATCAAAAAAGTCAAACAAATGCAAATTGACGTTTTTTTTTTGACTTTTTTAAATTTAGAACACAGGCTCTTTCCAATGATTGTTTAACAAAAAACACATACTGCAAACTCAGATTAGAGATGCAAATGTTTCTGCAGCCCACAGGATCCGGGTTTCTTGCTTTGGGCCCACGGGACCCGCGTCACATCTTCAACCTCATGTCCACATCGACCTAACCATTCTCTTCCCTTATTTCTGACTGACCTGAAATCAACATGTTCCAAGAAAGCCTCCCAACGTCGTCAAGAAAGATCTGACGAAACACCAAGCGCCCGCACGGCTTGCAGCTGTTCTGGCCGGTCTGGTCTTGATAGGTCCCACCTGGACCTGAGGGGCCACAGGAGATCCAAACTCCAAAGTCTATCAAGGGTGATGGTGGTTGACTTACCATCTGGTCGGTTTGGAGTGATCCAACTCTTCAAGACCATCAATATTTCATGTACAGTATCATGGTTACGTGGATAGCAAAGGCCCCTGGAAGACGTTTCTTTTCTACAAGGAGGATCAAACAGGTGGTGTCGGTGTTCACTCCGCTTTCATGATGCTTCCAGGGACTGCAAATAGAACCTCATATCCTGGGAAAGGGCCTGAGGGTTACTGTCATGTTGACTGTTTTATATTTGTTGAATGCAGGCCCACATAGAAAGAGATGTCATTACACATTATACACTCCACTTGGGGCAGCCCACATGGGCTGCCCCACCTGGATCCAGTGGGACGGCAAGCTCAACGTCCGGTCAGGCCCCGCACACGGAACCTTCTCATAGCCGCGGGCGTAGTGCCTCGAGCCGAATCGGCGAAATACCTTTGGTCATTTATCATCATTTATCTATATAAGTCTACGCTTATGTCAACTTATATCCCATTTCCATCCATTTCCTCTCTTTGCCCCATGATGACGGCTAGTACAAAGTAGTAGTCAAAATATGTCAAAATGACGATACACCCGGAATCTGGTTCTATTCGCGAGTGAAGGACTTTCCCAAATGGTCTATTCAACCACCTCTTGGGCTCCGCCGCAAGCGAACGGGCAGCTCGCCATGCTCGCGCATACGGCTCGGCTCATGAGGCTCGGGCCCCCGGGGAGCAGTACAACAACAGGTGTTCATCTCGGTTTCGCATCTGCAGGAAGCAAAACCTCAGCGAACGAACGTCGAAGCTGAGCGAGCTGGAGTTCCATCCAACGGATGCGTTTTATGTTGGCAGGCCCGATGACAAAACCCACTGGAGGCTGAAATGAAGTCTGGGTCACAAAGCACCTGGTGTTGACGGATCGATGTCTGCGAACGGAATTGAGTCCCTTGGGCGATCAAAATCGGCTCTGTTCCACGAGCGGTCATAGCCTCGCCCTGGGCCAATCATGTCACTCTCATCAATTGCTGTGGGCCTTACCTATGTGGGCTTTTGTTTGGCAATCCGCAGTGTACACCGCCACACCGCCACCATCGTTGATGTCGACTCAACCGAGGGTGGAAACATGTGGAAACACCCTCACTGACTGGACTCCACTGGAGGGTGTTTGGGTAGGTAGGTTTTGACTCGCCACAATTGAACCATTTCAAGAGAACTGATCATCACTCGTGCAAGGCCCAAACTCCGGACTTCGGCTGCAGAGTGAGCTACATGGATACCTTGGTTGACCTTTACCTGGGAGTGAGCTACATGGTGGACCAGGGCTCCAAGTTTTGACACAGCCGCAGTCTGCAATGCGAGATGCCTCTAACACAAAACCCCAGCCTTTAGCACGTGCCATTCATCTACATCTCTTCCCCAACCCATCGACAGCCAAGCCACAATCTCCATCGCAGAACCGACAGTTGATACCTCTGTGGCGCTAGTTTGACCAGTCGGCTGGGTGTTCAATCCACATTCTTGGTCATTTTCTTCAGCCCCCCCAAACAAATCAAGGCTTTGTGCGCTACACGACCCAAAGGAGGTTCATTCACCCAAAGGTGACATCCTGAGGTCCTTTAGACACCGAATCGAACCCCAGATGCTTCACTTAACCCGCTTCCGCGACCGAAACGGAACCCGAAGGTGTTCGTCTCCCGCGGTCCTTCTTCGTTGAGCCAACTGCACCCTCCCAGCCCTGTGCGTTTGGGTCCGCCGTCAAAGGGCTCACAGAGGGGAACGGTCCGGCATCATCGGTCCGGCAGCCCTGGGTTTTTGCTTTCCCTTGGGCGGTTGCCGCTCACTCGGACAAGAATAAGATAGAATCAATAAGTAACCTTATCCTGCAGAGAACAAAGCACAACACCATTCTTGCCGCGTGGTTTACCAACACTTGATCAATAGTAGAATCCCTCAGACTTATATTGCAAAACCTGAGCACCTCAGGACCTCCCATACTAAAATGAGTCATGTTTGCCGGATAAGGGGAGATACACCCATCGCTGGGTCAGATGGGTCAGGGACGTCGCTGGGTCTACACCCAACATCCGGGCGCTCCCGACACTCGCCATCTGGGCAGAATCCAAGCCCTGCAGGCGGTGTGGGCTCCGGCGGCTACGGTGAGGTCTTTGGCATGATTTTCCTTCGGATGCACATCCAGTCTAAAAATATAGCATGATAAAGCATGAGAAAGCTGCATGCAGTTCCGTTTGCTCTTTTTTTTGGGGGGGGAGGAAAGCAGCAACTCAGTCTGAAAACAATTCACAACCGTTTCTTTCTGTGTGATTTTCCAAGTTCACGTGGCTTGCGCTTCTTGGTTGTTATCTGCTAGAGTCTCATCAGGCTTGAAAAGGGTCATGGTTTGATTGACTCGCGGTTTCATGGCCAAGGCACTTGCTTGTTGACCAAGTGTCTGCGTCACGAGGCAAAGCACAAGGCCCCTCAGCAACATCGAACATCTGGCACTTTCTCAATCTGTTGAGAAAGACGGAGAGAAAGGGCAAAAGGCCATGGAGGCCCTAAGAGGTGCTGAGGAGGGTCATTTAACCCCAAATTGCTTGGATCGTCCAATTTGGAGATGTTCTATCTCTTGCAGTGACCTGCCGAGTCGAAAAATCGAAAGTGCTGAATCCAAAAGAGAATCGTGGCAATGAAGGCTTGGTGCCAAAGGGCAACTTCTTGGCCAGCTTCTTCAAAGTGAAGTTGAATAGAGGTCACTTAAGCAACAAAAGAAAGCAGTCGCATAAGGGTCATGAGTCATACATCAAAAGGATTCAACAGGTCACTGAAAAAGAGTTGGGATTGTGCTTGTCCATCACATCGAACGCTTGCAAAGCTATCATCGTCGACAACCAAAGACCAGTTTCTACATCTCCGATATCAGCATTGCCTGCTGAGGAACGGGCCTCAGAGCTACATCCATGAAGCACTGTTTGGCTGCAGAGATGTGTGAGATGAGAGACCGTCTTCGGCTGTGAAGGGTTTGCTGTTCGCTCGGTTAGTTCGCTTTTTGAATCTTAGCTGTCATTAAGTGGTCTGAAAACTGCTATCTGCTTCTCATGCAAAGCTGCACAAACGCCTCCACACACACCACAACATAGGCATCGACAATAATGCATACACATCTTTGACTGGTGGGTAGGTCAACGTTGTTGTCAAATGCTAAACACGATGACGATGTGTCTTTTTATCGTCTGTCCCACTAGGTTGTTTGCCCCTGTCCCGTGTCTTCTCAAGCTCCCAGTCCTCGCGTAGGCGAGTTTTCCAACATGAAGCCAGAAAGACATGCAGAATTGAGGACTGAAGAGAGGGTGCTGAAGCTCATCACCAGGCTGCGAGTCTGACCGTCCAAACTCGTGCTGTTTTTAGGGGTTGGCAATTTGGTGTATGCGCCATACCCTCCAACGTATCTTTCCTTGCGCTGAGGCCGCTGAGGATACCTGTCCTCCTTTCACACCAACGGACATGAAACAATTCAGAGACCGCGGCAGCTAGCACTATGTGATTATGTGATACCATGTGCTTTCAGAATCGGTCAATTAGTATTAAACAATAGCAACAAACACCTAGAACTTCAACCTGGGAGCCAATGTCCACCATGTCAGTAACCACATCAAGTTCAGCGTCCGAGCTTGCAAAAGCGTCGCACAAAAGAAGTCTTGAATTGAACACGTGTTTTTGTGGCCAAAAGGGACCCCAATGGAGACCTGGCAAGCATATATTATATATATACGTACTATATATATATAATTTATATAGTCCATTATAGGCTTCATCACGTTTCATCCCTACCCCTTTCACCCTCTGGCATATACACCTGCCACTACTTGTGGTTCCTTCCCAGTGCATTTCTCCAACTCTCCGGTTGCGAAATCTCGAGTTCCGAATCGTCCACCACTCGTTGCCGACTGCATCATCCCAAAACCCAGGGAGTGGGGATATTTGGATATATAACAAGAGGGTATCCAACAATGTGTATGATTTTGTATAATATATTATGATATATTTGTATCATTTTGTATATAACAACTTGTTCTGCAGTATACAAGAGGATATCACATCAAAGGACCGCGACCACGGAGGAAAGTAGCTATTCTATAATATTCTATAGATATATTGTATACTCAAAAACAATTGTAATGCAAAAATCGCAAACCCTATGGAAAAGGAATCAGATGCAACGCACACCAGGTGAACGTGAGGAGTGTAAGTCCAAACGACTATCTCTCTCTGCCAGTTTCGCTCGCTCCGCAGGGTCGGTGGGGACACCTCCACTCTCAATCTAAAACTGGAACTGTAGCTCTGGGTGGTTCTTTTGTGAAGATCACCTCCCAGTTTACCCAGTTTCGCTCAGCTCGGCACGTCGGCACTGGTGAAAGTGCTTCGCTTCTTTTGGATGCTTCGCACTCAAGTCGGCTGGAGTGACCGGATGATACTGGACGAATGCGACCAATCTCCGAAAGCCCTATCCATTGGTATTGCGGGTGAAAACCTCTTGACAAGGGTACTTATTCCTTCTAGATCTTCCCAAGAATGTTGAAGGTCGGTCATACTGTATGAAGGGTGTGATCTAGGATCTAGGTTGTTCACTCAATCTGATGTCGTACGTTTCCCGTGAGAAGCCCTGTTCACTCCATGACCAGAAAGGCCATTTGCCCCCAGGTCAAAAGGTGAAACGAGCAGCTGGTGAAACTAGCAGCTCATCATCTAGTGGAGAGGATGGGAGAAGACAGTTGAGTAACATTGAAAGGTGTCTTCCCCTTTGCCTGTGTGCTTAACAACACTATTATATACTGGTTGGTGGCTTAAGCAGCAGCATGTTTCAAGCAGTGGTCAGTAGATCGTAGTGGTTGTCATGTAGCCTAGCTAGCTTTAAACAAGGAGATTCGATCCGATCTGCCCAGGGGAGAGATATCGTTCGAAGGACTGGTGCGTTGAATGTGGCTCTCCCATCTCACGAGAAGCGAACATTTTTTGCTATTGTCTCCTTTCAGAACGTGATAATATATATATATATACCTGGAAAGGCGTATGAACACTTTTGTTTGTGCGAAGGCCGTATTTGGACATAATTTATCGTATGGACATTTTAATTAACAAATTAGCGTATTTAGCCGTATGGACAAAAAAGCAATACCGTACAAAAGCGTACCCATATGAAACCCAAAATTTATCAACATTTTATCAACAAAAACCCAAACAATTATATTGATAAAACCCAATCAAACCCAATATTCGGAGGAATTCCAGAAAATTTGTCCATTTGACAAAAAAGGCCGGATGCACGGATTTTGTGTGCGAACGTGTTTGAACGAAAAAAATGCACATTTGGATTCCCTGGTATATATTATATATATATCCGTATTGAAGCAGTTATAAATAAAGATTTTTACCAGCTACTGATAAGGGTAGCTTGCCCTCTTGGAGACTAACAAAGACCCCTGAAGGCCACCGAATAATCGAAGAGTGGAACATCATCTTTCCGGTTAAGTGTCTGTCTATATATGGATTTTGTGCGGAAGACTCTCGTGTTGTCCTCCAGAGGCTCTTGCCGTGTTGTCAACCTTTCAAGATTTTGACGCCACAGACCACAGATTTCATGGTCTCCACAAACTGTAGAGAATTGAAGCACCCAGAGAATACGAGTCTTCCAATTCATGATTAACCAAAAGACCAGAAGAAGACATCCTATGATCCTTGGAGCCTGTTTTGGTCTAGTTTAGACTTTTAATGCCAAAATAGGAGTCATCTTGTAGCAAGTGATAGCTTGCGTGGTCTTTCCCATCAATCTCGCCATTCTTTTGGTCAAAGCATCGACGGCTGTGGGGGCCCTTCATTCTATGAAGTCACATCCTGCTCAATCCTCAGCCGATGCTGGGAGGGGTTTTCCAGTCAGGCCGGGGGGTGTCCAATCTTGGTCTTCTTCCCTTTGGCGTTTGGACGTAGACGACCAAAACACACAAAAACAACTGCAGTCCTCAAAGTCGAGCTTCAAACACTTTCATGAAGCAAACAAATGAGCCAGCAAACTCACAGAAATTCCGAGTCCAACGAAACAACAACTCACACACAAATAATATGAAGTGGAACATCCTTCTGTTTGCATGGAATAATGGTCATGGGGGCTCTATCATTGTGGCTTTGAAGACCCTCAACACCGGGACTCTTCCTCCGGTATTTTTGCTACTTGGAGGTGCCCCGTTTCTGTTTAAACACAATGCGTGAATACACCAGGTTCAAAGAACACCAGTTTCTGCAGTAGGTGCATTGTGCTTGCACTTTTTACTTGCTAGCCCATGCGCCACATGCCATTCTTACCTATTCTTAATCTTTTTTGTTGCTGTTTTCGGGTTTTGTTGCGGTACTGGTTCGCTCTGAAAGACCAAACGAACTGGGTCAGTCGAAACAGCGGTCACAGCGGTCCCTCACATCATGCACATCCAGCCGCTCTACATGTCGTGGGCCACCCGACAGGGAAAAGCTTGTCGTACAAGAACCTCCAGGGAAATTGCATTGCGCTGGATTCAGGCTAATCATTGCAGTGAGGATCTAGGGATAGCATCACAATACACATATCGTTTCTTGGACTATAGTAAAATACAAATAACCTACAGTTCCTTTTGGTGCAAACCAACTTCAAAAACATCTATAGTAAACAACCAAGCAAACCACCAAATATTCTGATCCTAAGCCACTCAGAACTTCTCCAGCAAACCTAGTTTCAAAATGCCTGGATCCCCCATCATTCTCATAGGTTCCCATCTATCTTCCAATATTGCAGTGTTTTAGTGGGCGGTCTCCCTATTGAACTCCTGCAAATAATCAGTTGATATATATATATATATATACCAGGCAGTTCTCCAACCCAAACACTCTCTGTCTCTCTCTCTCTCTCTCTTTCGCTATCCCAAACACTCTATGTATGGAGTATATGTCGACATTGACCCCTAAAACCAGCTCTGTAGGCACATATGCCAGCTCCATGGAGTGTCTGGGGATTCATTTAACTCTCTTGATTGAAACCATTTGCTACTAGTTAGTAGCTACTTGGCTACTAGTAGTAATGCCAGAAGCTACTAGTAGCCTCTTGTTACTACTTGCGATGCACTTTGCAGCTCTCAACCTCCCAAACAGGTACCCAACCAAAAAACGACCGGTCGCTGCGCTCTCTAGGGCAGCCCTTGAGGCGCCCCACTGGAGCACTTGTTCGCTGCTCAGCAAGAGCTCCACCACCTTCCTACGGTCGGTGACCGTGAAGTCGTCCAGCGTGGGCTCCAGCGCCTCGTTCCGGGTTTTGGGAGCTTCAGCGTCTTTGAAGCGAGATGGAGCAGTGAAAAGACTGGGGCGTGGACCCGCCCAACAGGAGCAGTTTGAACCACAACTCTTTGTCAAGTACAGACTTGGACAGGGTGAACATATATGAACATATTCCATTCTATTATGTTTTGTATAAAGTGTTGTGTGTTCAAACATGTCTCCTCATCCTTCACCATCTATTTTGATGACAAGCGTCATCGCCCAGGGCCAGGTTATTTATCATCCTAATCATTCCTCTTGAGAACCACTAACCACCATAATACTAGGGATCCTCCTCGCCACTTGCCATCTCAAAGACGTTGCCAGGCTTCGGCGGCCAATGGCCCACTCGCATACATTGCCAAGAGATGCAAACAACAATTAAACTGACGAAATAACTTTCACTTTGAACGCCACGCGATGTTTCTTACAAGAAACGGACTGAAAAGAACTGAAACATTGCCAAGAGAGACGTCTAAATACATATTAGTTATAAGCCTGACCGGAAGAACTTCAACATTGCCCAGAGATATACAACTCAAAATCACTCAAAGAACTGAGTGAGGCGACCGAGTCTAGCTGTTTTGGTGGCTGTTTGGGTGCGACCTCACCGCCCCCATCGACGCTGGGCAGCCCGACGAGCTTGGCCACCTGCGGCGGCAGCGTCTCTGGGTAGCCCCGAGGTCCCTTGGCCTTGCGGTCAGCAACCGGGTCAAAATGAAGGTCAAACGCCTCTGGCTGGTGTGGATCGCCCATGATGGTCCTAGGAATTCAGCTTTTCGGGTGTTCGTGGGTTAAATTCTTTCATCTCCTCGCTTTCTGAGAGAGACTTGTGGACAAACAAAGAGGGTTTTGGAGCGAGTTGTTCAGACTTTAATGTTCCTGGACAGTGGTCTCCTTTCTACACTCTTTTCTCTTTTCTTCTGCTATCTGTTTTTGTCCTTTGACAATTCTTTCACTTGCGCTCAGTGAGCACTACGCCGGTGAGCACAAAGAAATGATGACTAGCGGTGCCCCAAAAGATAAAAACAATTCCAACTGTTCATGTATAATCATGTATACACAAATATCGAATCAACAACAAAAATACTACATATATGTAATGTACACAGCCAGGACACAAGTTGGTAACAAGCTTGTGAGTACATAACCCACAACCCTTTCCCCGAATCCTACAGGGGATCACAGTGGAATGCCGGCAGATTAGTTTCCACCCCGAAATGAATTTATAGGATTGTAAGTTAGTTCGGGGTGGAAACTAATCCGCCGGAATTCCATTGGGAAAAGGAAGTGATGTCAATGATATTCTTGTTCGTGAAGTTGTTACCAAACTTTCTTCCTCCTGAAGTTCATATGTATATGTATATATGGTACATACAATATAAATATATACATTAAAAAATATATATAATATACACATACAATAACAATAAATATAAATATATATATATATACACAATTTCCAAACAGCAATTTGCACTTGAGTGGGGGTCACTTTTCAAGGCCGAGATGAGATGTTCACTTCTTCGCTCTTTTGCACACATGCTGCTAGCAAGCCCACATCACACAATCCGCCCCAACCAACAACAGAGGTCGAAGGACCCTATAGACTATCCCATAGGTACCCGGGTAGGGTCTTTTAAGGTCCCCTTAACCTCTCTTGGCAGGTCTCTGATGCTCTGGAACGGGTCTTGCCCCGCGCCTCTGGGCCCCTCAAGGCCTGACGCTGCTCCAGCGCCAGCTTCCGACGCTGAGAAATGTCCCCCTTCACCTGCAGGCTGAAATCAGTAATTAAAGCTACTGGTGCTGAGGAACTATTTTTTGGAACGTTGAATTGGTGTGGGTAGTAGGGATAGGAGCTTGGACCATCGAATGACGTGAATGGCTTGGTTACAAGCAAATGGCAAACTTCCAAACAAACACCTGGAGAGGTGTTTCTGTATGTTTAGCGAGACGAAACAAACATGCTTTCCTCCCCATCTACTTAGCAGTTCATCATGAAATCAGGTCAATCAGGTCACCGTACTCGACACGGTGGAAAACAGCGCACCGTGCAAAACAACGCCTGCTCCACACAGTCAACGAAGAAGGCCTCACAGTCTCTGGTGCCAATGACTCAAATAGCGAAGGGAACGGGGTTTGGACACAAACAACTTATTAACCGTTTTCTGACAGGAAGGCCCCTTGACTCGAAACCATCCTTGAATATGATGGATGATGGATGGACCACGAACAAATTTAAATGATTCCTTGAGCATCCATTTTAGAAGAGCTTGGAATAAACATATTACCTATCCATGCTTACGAGAATCATCGATGGAAATACCTCATCTTTTGCTTCACCGACTCAGTGAGGTCTGATCGTAAAAATGACCTCGTGAGGTCTGTTTAGGTCCATCTTCCTCTGCACGGAAATCCGTGCTACACTTCTAGCGGGCACTGCAACAAACCGCTTCTACACTTGCATGGATAGCTCATCTGCAAGTGGTAATATAATCACAATATAACATGACATAGTTCTTCCTCACCATTCAAATCTCATCTTCTCACGATTCTCTGAAAGCGCGGATACCTGCAAATGGTGCAAAAGTCCTTGTCCCAAGCAGCTGAAAATCTCTTCATCGCCAAAATCGGATCACCCGAACTGCACTGTACTTAGCATCACAAAGTCACTGATTGCATTCCATTGTTCTAAATCTTCGACTCCAACAACCGGGTCTTATCGCTGTGGTGTGGTCTTTAGGGCTCAATTGGTCTTTGCCGAATGAATTCAAATCTGTCCAACATTGTGTCACCTTGGAGAAGCACATCGAGCTTGGGTGTGAAATACCATGGGTTCACAAGGCGTTGTCAACCACACAAACACGGCTAAAAGCTCCTGAATCAAATCCTGTAAATCCAACTATTGACATCTGATTAACCAAATTTAATGTCAAATTCCATGACCACTCCGGCTATTCACCTCGCCAAACCTTCCATGCGTCAAGCGCCGATCGGCCGCGATGCGCCGCCAAGGGGACCCGCCTCCAACTCCGAAGGTTCAGTAAACTGGCGATCTGCGATGGCACGCAACTGGGGCGGATGGGGCGCGCAGAACGCGGCGCGGCGTACGACGCGACGGGCGTTTGGAGGACGGTTTGAGGGCGTTGGAGGACGGTTTGACGCGTCCTCAGCTTCTGTGCGGTTGAACCACCTTTGGTCGACTGGGGAGATTCTATGGGACTGCTTGCTAAGTTGGTGTGCAATCTGCAGAACATGTTTCAAATGATTATATATATATATTACTCAGAATATACTGGTTTGAATATACCAGAATGGATGATCTAACCCGCGCTCCAAAGGCAAAGGGACGTTCCAATCTTTCTGTTCCAGCTAGAATTCATCGTCTCACTCCTCGTGCCCTTCAGTTGGAGTCGTCACGTGTCGTGGCCAGACCCCTATCGTCCCGTGGTCGTCGTAACCGGAGCTCGTGCCGAATCGGAGCTCCGTGCCGAATCGGAGCCGACGCCGCCACCCATCGGGTGCAGAATCTGAGAGCCAGGCTTTGGTCGCCTGTTTCTGCTCTTGTTGCAGCTGATGCTTCAATCGCCTCGGTCGGAGCCCAGACCAGGTTCCAAAACGACCAAACAACCCGCCAGGAGCAGGTTCCAAAGGAAAACGAGCCGCTTCATTGGAGGGAACCTGCTAACATGGAGGGTCACCCGATCTCAATTACACCAATGTGTTGCAAAGGATTCCATGGAAACTCACTGAGCTTGAGGCTTCACTGTGGTCTGATACTTCACTTCCAACTCCTGCACCGCTGGGCAGGTAGACTCCCCGGAGGCACAAGGTTCGTGTGCGGCTGCGTGCCATGTTGGGGGCGCGCACAGGTTTGGAGACCAAGAAACTCTTGAGATTCCAAAACTATTAAAGGCATTACAAAGGCGGTGTAACACCTCATGGAGAATGAAAGAATGATCGATTCCAGCAACATGGCGCCTTCGATTCAACCCAGGACACACAGGTCCATGTGCTGCGTCTGATCTTGGTGGCCCATCATGGCGTCTGATCTTGATGGCCCACTTCGCCCTTTAAAAATCAGTTCCTTGATTATGACCGACCATTGAAAGGCACTTGCAACCACCAACCACCTAGCAGTAGTGATCCTTAGCTTACCTGCATCTTTGAATGAATTCCAGAAACAAACAAGACTCATTTCTGTTTCAAGAACCATCGCACTTGTCGCAAAATGCTTCGATAACCTGGTCCCCTGGCCTCTGTTGGAGGCCCAGTTGGATAATCTCCAACTACAGGTGGGGTGTTAGCTCACTCTGTGGACTATTCTATAAATGACATGATGGTGCAATGCTCTGAGCGTTTTGGGGTGTTTTCGAGTCGCAGCAGGAGACGTTTTGGAGTTCGGCTCCATGCAGATTCGTGGTGCACGGAGCATAGCGGTCGCTAACCACTGAGCTGCGGTTGGGGTCAATGTCTCCTGCACATAGAATTTGTTAGGGTCTGTGACCTGCATGCAGTTCGCGATTGGCAGCATCGAATATTCCATTGCTCGAGAGAGGCCAAAGACCAGCCTTTTTCTCAGATCGAACTTTCTACAGGAAAGCCCAGCGGCTGATGGTCCTGCTAAATGCCATACGTATCCCGTATCCCCTAAAAAATCATTAGTATGGGCCTCAATTTAAGGTTTCCCATTTCATAGTGGAATTGGTAATGGGGATCCATATACTTCACTTACTTGAAGCTGCTTGCTCCCCCCTCCCTCCGCTCCTGGGAGAGGCCGGTATAGGCTGGACCTGCGGATGGACGTGGTCCTCTGGGTTGGACGCTCTGTGCAAGGGATTCATGGATGGATATGGATGGTGTCTGGTATATCTTGCTATACACATGAGTCCATCTTGTTCTGTTTGTGGACTCAACAAGGATCCAATCTTGCGCAACCCGCAAACCGCAAACACAAGGGTTTTTGTCAGTGTCTGTAAGTCGTGATAGGTTGTGTCTTCCTGTGGGTGCCTGCTGCCTTGCAAACAATATACAGTAGAAACATCTTCCAGCACTACAAACGACGGGTGCATCCGGAGCATATGACGAACCTGTACTGGTCAAACAAGTCCTAGTTGATCAATGTCCCTCCAACGTGGACAGCGGGTCGCCACCACAAATGGAGGCATTGAGGTCGTCTTTGCCCACTCACCAAGCTTTGAGTTGAAGCATAAATAGACCAAACCAAACTCCCACGTTTTCTTGGAAAACTGAGACTCAATACAGCTATCTGCAGCATGGTCTCCACCAAATACGTAGCATCCTTCAATCTGTTTCAAGCTACAGTGCAAGCTCCTCCTTAGAAGACATCACCGAACCCTTGAAAAAAGATCAGGAGCTAATGATCAACCAAAGTTGGAACGGCCAACCCTGCCTGCACCCCACCCACTCTGCTCCCGACTTCCTCCCCAAAAAGAACAGTGCCAATTCACAGTGCTATTCACGTTGTGAATATTCGTCACAGCTTCTCGTCACAGCGGACACAGCCGTTACCGTGAACTCGGCCCGAGCAACTCGCCTAGCACTTCCTCGTCTGCCTGTGTCACTTCGGGGGCCGAAACCGGCCTGGACGCGGACGCGACGCGCGTGGACGCGGCTCGCGCCAGAGGGTGCGAGGGGCCGAGGAGGAGGTCCATGCAGTTGTTGATGAACAGGGGAAGGCCCAGAAGGGCTGTGGGTCAAAACCTGGATCCCCAAACTAGGGTAGGTTGACCTCCTGAGTAAGTATTCCATTCTGTTCCTTTTTATCTGGTCAACCCAGGTAGCCTGGGTTGGACCCACGCCCAAATCAGTAGAAATGGAACATGTGTTCCATGCTCGTGCCTCAAAGACCTTCAATGAATGTTCCGTTTTTGCGCTCCCAACTCAAATCAGATTTGTGATCTCTTCTGAAGGCTTTGTAAGTTTTGTGGATTTAGAGTCACAGGTGAACTCTGTTGGAGGTTCTTCCATATTGCATTTCTGATCTGAGGCATGACAATTGATTAGACAAACATTGTTCAATAAAACTTAAACATTAAACCATATTAAACCTATATATCCTATACTATATACATTATACAAAGGAGAAACTATGCGAAGAGTTGTATTTCAGCATGACGGTGGAAGCTCCCACCCACTCACTTCTTGGGTCTGTCTTGAGAACCACCCCGACATGGACATGGAACTCTTGGTCGTAGCGTTGGACCAGCGTTTCTGATTTCACGGCTCCCATCTGGGTTCCCGAAACAGCCGGTGTTTGTTGGAGGTCTATATCTATAGAAGATCCTTTTGGCAAACATTTCTTCCCCAGGCGGACTCAGGGCAGAAATGTTTGCCGCAGGTGCTTCAAGGATCTTCTAGGTATGCTTGCATTGACAGAAGACAAGCATTGAATACACCATCTGGCAAAGGGAAGCTTCTATAGGAACAATACCCTACAGGTCAATCATCTCATTTTACTGGAGTTGGTTATACAAGAAACACTGTTCAAGCAAGGAAATGACCTGTTTTTACTGGGTCTTTGTACTTGATACGGTCTTATTTTCCGTTTTCTTTGCAGGATGCACCCCCCTCCAGCCCCTGGTGCGGTGCTTTGGTCCAGATCACTGCCAGTGTCAGAAAGATCGATTCATAGCCCGAGGCCAAAGAACCACTTCGTTTGCATTCATAGTCGGTTGAGTTGGTTGAGAGTAGATGGCACAAGGGCACCCAACGTTTGGTGGTTTATATAGACCCCCATAGACCCCCATACAAACGACATCTTGGGGTGCCAGTGCCATCTATCTATCTAATTACATATATATATATATATAAGTACTCTGAAACCAATGTAAAGACATGTAAAGACATATAAGACATGCCAGTGGGCTCTGAAGTAAGTTGCTGAATCCTGGCTTATATCTTATCTTTCTTTGGGAGCGGGTTGAAGAGCTGGAAGCTCTTCCAGAATTCTAGCCGTCTACCTCCACGTGTTCCATGTCAAAAGTGAAGTCCCAGTGTCCCATGCAGGTCGCCACGAAAGGTGCATCCTTTGCATGCCCCCGATCTCCCGTTTGAGCGTCGCGACTGGTTCTCTTCCGCATTCACCAGCGCTGCATAGGCAGAGCTTTGAGCCTCAGGAAATTCTCAGTGCGCAGGTGAAAGCACCTTGGAGGTGTTTTTCTTCCTTTGAGAAGTCGATGAACGCAACAAAAGAAACTTGAGTGTTAAAGTTGGTGCTCTCTTTTTTTAGGAAACACATCACACACATCACACATCCTCACACCGTCTGGGCTCACAGGGCATCCTCACAACGAATGCACTCTAATCGTTATTTCACCGACTGCTTCGCCGTGTGCGGAACAAGCCCGACGACAAGCACAATGGAAGCAACCAACAATGGCGGCGAGAAAGGCAATAAACACTCTCTTGTTTCCAAGCCCACATCAGCTAGCCCAAACCTGCTCCACGGCAGTGCGCAAGGACTTGTTGGTCCTGCCAGTGCTCTCAGTGAGGCGCAGCGATGCACAGCTTCTGCAGTGATGGGAGCATTGAAAGCAGTGATCCGAATGATCCATTGATATCCATCGGATCCATCGGATTCTGAGGCAGCGGCTCCAGCTCTCTGAGTCTGTTTGGGTTTCTGCCTTGAACGTCTTGGTAAGTAAGTCTTGTCTCTGAGGTCCTTGGAGCCCTTGGGGATTCATGAGATGGGATCCCGAACACCCCCACGGCCAAACCCGGCCGACCGGGACGGGTGACCGGGTAATGTGCATCACCGACCGTCGGGAGCGCGGCCGATCAAGGAACCGAATCGACCGTGGAATGCCGATCTGAAAGAGAAAAAGACGGAGCCGATCTCGTCCTGGTCTAAGGACACATTATAAAGGGAGGTGGACCTCATGAGTGGTATCTCATATCTTCTTGACCTTGTTGACCTACCATGTGGGGGGGGGTTATGAATCAGGTCTTGACATTAGGCTACATACCCAGGTCACACCAAAGGTCACACCATGGTGTTGCTCTGCCGCCGAGTTCGACATCGGTCCACACCATGGTGCCCTCCATCGCCCAGCGGTCCTCTTGGCCTGCTTGATTTGACCTTCCAGGAATTGTCGGTCATCCTCAAGGGCCTCGAAACGTAGGCTGGGCATCCAAACCCGCAACACCGCTTAATCTGCGCAATCCGATGCTACCCACTGCCCAGGTACAAGAGGTGCGTAGGGCTATAGGGGACATGATTGTGGATGTTTTAAAGTGAGACCATCAAGCAGCATGCATTTATAAACTGAGGTAAATCTCAAAGTTTAGCGACCAAAACAGAATCATCAACAACCGAACTGAAAAGGCAACATTCTTGAGTGTATTATAGATGCCTACTATGTTGTTTTAATTTCTTACCAAGCTTCCTGTCGACAGATTGCTGCGATTCGCAATCGTACCGTGCATCGTATCGCCGCATAGTATCGCCGGCGGCAAAGGTGTGGTATACAGTGTGACAATCTCTGGGAGCAACACATTAAAAGGCACGAGTTGATGTTCGAGTCGAGAGCATTTCATCAAACAGATCGAATCGCCTGGATATACCGAAGGTACGAAGCTACGGCCTTTCATCCTCGTCGAATCATGGAGGATTTGTTTTTTTTTTAAATAGTCTTTTTGGTTTCCAGGGATTGAACCACAGCAGATTGTATGCTTGACGCTTGAATGCCCTTCTTTCTTTTGGAAGTTTCTGAACCGGTGGTGAGTCGCAATCAAAGGGCATTGGACATCTATCCGTCTTCCCTTTCACCCATAGCGACAAGATGCGACAAGTATACAGTGCAATTCTGCTCCTATCGAAAAAATCATTGTGCCTGGTGGGTACTTCTGCGTGTGTGTGTGTGTGTCAACCCCGGTTCCAAAGGGTACCGCGTTTCTCGATGGTTCCAGCATGCAAGCAGGGGAGTGGTGCGCGGTCTTGGAGTCACCACTCAACGAAGACACTCCTTGAGCCGCGGTGATATCCGGAAGGGACGCCTTCTGGACGTACCTGCGCTGAACACACTGACTCCACTGGTTCCCCTCGCCGCTGTTCTTTGTTTTCATGGTTGTTCCCATGCTACCTTCCCCATAAACAGGTTTCCACCGTTCGTGCGATGCCGCTGAGTCACTGCAGATGCGCATAACAACTTTTTGTTAAAACATCTTCAAATCTTTGGACCTTTCGCCTTACCTTTCTCTCACCTTCCTTCTCGACGTGGGAATTGAGTTAACAGCAAACCAATGTCAGAGTGTGAACCGCTCAGCCGTCCCACTTGGGTGCTGGGTGTGATCCTCCGCAAGGAGGCGCTGCTTTCATACCGGAAATCGTGTAACTGCTTTGACCGTATCCACCAAACCTTGGATTTTCTTAACCGACTTTGTTTCACTACTGAATTGTCTGAACAAAGAGCCGCCGGGCTTTCACGGTGAACAACCATAGCCGCCGGGCTAAAAAACGGAATTCCAGGTCAGGCATGTTTCCCCCCCCCCTCCCCCCCCCCGCCGTGTTCTACTCCCTACCTAATTAGGGCAACACAGGAAATGGTACTCGACACACTTGTGTCGGTGCCTTTCCCTTTGTTGTTCCTGTTCTAGTCTACTCTACCCGGGCGGTCTAAGACTAAAGTCCCGCTCCCTAACTATTGCATTTAATTCGCCTCGGCCAAGTAGTCAGTAATTCTAGAGTGCTAAGTAGTCATACACACACATGCTACATACAACCCCTCCCTGCCCCCCCCTTTCTTTCTTACGCTTTCGGTCGTTTCTTGGGCTTTCTCTCAGGCTTTTGAGGTTGTTCTTGAGGCTCGTTTCCCTGCCCCAGTCAAGGGCTAAGTATTCACCTTTTTTCTACACCTATCTTTCTCTCTTGCCCTCTTAGCGCTGCTCTTTCTGTGCTTCTTTCTTTTGTTTCTAAGGCTTTTTAGGTGCCTAATCAGGTCGTTCGCACGAGCGCCGCAAAGCGGCACCGTGTGTGTGTCAACCTCTGTTCCAAAGGGTACCGCGTTTCTCGATGGTTCCAGCATGCAAGCAGGGGAGTGGTGCGCGGTCTTGGAGTCACCACTCAACGAAGACACTCCTTGAACCGCGGTGATATCCGGAAGGGACGCCTTCTGGACGTACCTGCGCTGAACACACTGACTCCACTGGTTCCCCTCGCCGCTGTTCTTTGTTTTCATGGTTGTTCCCATGCTACCTTCCCCATAAACAGGTTTCCACCGTTCGTGCGATGCCGCTGAGTCCTTGCAGATGCGCATAACAACTTTTGTTAAAGCATCTTCAAATCTTTGGACCTTTCGCCTTACCTTTCTCTCACCTTCCTTCTCGACGTGGGAATTGAGTTAACAGCAAACCAATGTCAGAGTGTGTGTGAGTGTGTGTGCGGGTACTTCTGGTGAGTCCTGCAACAAAAAGACTTGGACTGCCACCTTGCGTCCCCATAAGCAACCGAGTTCTACTATTCTAGGATGGTGGGGGTTGAAAGTCCAACATGTTTTTTCTTCATCTCCCATTCTGCAAATAATCGCCAAGCTGTTGAAACGAGTCGGATATAGATCCCGTCTTCTTCGGCTTGTCGGGACTCTTTTTCAACTTGGAACGCAGGGCATTTATGTCACCGAGATGTTTGTACATGTTATCCATGCAATTCCTGGGTGTTAGCTTTTTGGTGACAGGCAATTTGCTAAGTCCACTGTAATACAATGGGAAGTTCTTATGTTCATTAATGGCTTTTACTGCTTCATCTGCTGCCTCATTCACCAAGCAATCGCACCAAACGCGGTCGTCCATTCATTGGTACTTGTATGTGTGCAAAATACCCAGGGGCAGACTTGGTGCTGCAAACCTCAAGTTTTAAGCATTAGCTGGAGTCTTTTATTGTATCAAGATACAGTAAGGGCAGGTCATTGACTTATACGTGACACATGACAAGCGGAAAACCCCAAATGATCCAAATATGCCAAACCATAGGTTGTTACAGGTTGGATGATAAGCTCATTGACCAAAAGCTTTCATTAGGTCGCCGGTTGTTGACTGACTGCTCCGCTGCGGAATATAATCTTCTCCTACAAATCCGCACAGGTGGCCCCTTTGGAGTGTAGCGGCCCGCGTGGCCGACCTGACTTCCAAACACAATCTTCAGGAGTTACATGGAGTTACTGTACAAGTCGTGAATCGATTGGGATCATTGGGTTGGTTCCCTCCGAAAGCGCACAGATGACCGAAAAACTGAGAAAGTCTATAGTGGCTATGAGGCATGCCTATGCATCGGACCCAGGTTCAAGCCCCAGGTGCCACACGGACCGGCGGACAGGCTAAGGGCCGTGGTTCCCCCACCCCTGCAGCTAATAGGTGATGAGGGGACCGTGTGTGGACCGTTAAACCACAACAGGGCGACCGAAACTGAGAAAGCAACCTCTGCCTTGCCCTTCCACTTGTCCAGCTCCTCAAATCGTTGGCAAATCGCAAAGGCAAAGACCAAATGTGAGGGCGTGACTAGAGCTGAGCCAAAGTCCTTCTTATTTTAAGACGCTTCAGAAGAGTTTTGACGTTCAAGACTCAAGAAAGAACAACATGTCCGAGTCCCCTTCGAGCGATGGCATCTCACTAATTCACATCTACCTGCCACATCGCCGGGCATGCGATCTACCACAACATTCATCCAGAGTCTACTGTAGGTCACGGTCTCTGCCCTCTCTATTTCCAGCTGCAGTCCTTCTTGTACTTTTTGACGAGCTCATCTAAACGCAAGGCCTCGAACGTCTTCCGGTGCAAATCGCATGTCAGCGACATGGGAAGAACCCATGCAAACGCCAGGCAAGACTTCGTCTTCGGACGGGAAGTTTGCATCCCCAACAAACCTGGCAAACAACATGGCCACCTGGAATCTGCTATAGTCCCATCATGATCGAAACATGACTCCAAATCACTATATATATGTATATGTACGTTATACTCTCAAACCAAAAACCCTGAGCGCTTGGAAGGTTCCGCATCCTGATCTACAAACAACTCATGACAAGCGCTGCAAAAAGAAGCCTCTTCGCGCACAGCGGGGAGAGTGCAGCCTCTTTGGGGTGCTGGGCTTTTAGAGTCGAGAGTCCTGAGATCTGTCTTCCACAGTGCACCTGTTCCATTATGACGGAGACATCCCAGTTCGCCCCCTGGAAGAAGAATATATATAATGGACCCAAACCCATTGGTTGGGAGCCCCTTGTTGTTCGAACGCACCTTCCAGCTGGTGGGGCCGTTTCGACCGATCGCGTTCGCCATGTGGTTGACTGGAAGTTTAGCGAGAGGGAGGTTCACGAGATGTTCTTCGAATGTCTGCGACGTGGCCTTGTTCCCAGATCGTGTGGAAGCCACGATTCACGTGCCCGTGGAGTGGGAAAGGCATGTTTCCTGTGGCTTGGAGTTTAGGTTGGAACGCTTTCGGGTTAGTTGGTGTGGTTCTAAACCTCACTTTCACTTCCTGAATGGTGATGATGGTGGGATGACCTGCTTGTACTTGGTTCCCTCTGTGAAAAGGGAAGCCCCTTGCCTTTTTGAGGCTTTTGCGGGCATTGGGGGATGGTCCGAAGCCCTCTCAATTTTGGGGATTCAGCCGGCAGTGCTTATTGACAACGATCCTGTTGTCATTCGTTCGCTGCACCGGAAGTTGAACTTTCCTGTGATGCATCCTGACGAGTTCCTCTCTAAAGCCTTGCATTTCCTGATCGATGGCCCGGTCATCGTTTTCGGTAGTGTTGGCGACGAAAAGATTTGGGTTGCCCTAGGCATTCGGAACGCCATTGGAGGTTTTGCCAGTCCTCCATGTCAGCCGTGGTCCTCAGCGGCCAACCGAAAGGGACTTTCATGTGAAGATGGCATGATATTCCAAGAGATGATGCAATATGCCGGACGGCTCTCAGTTTCCTTCCTTGGAGCTGAAAATGTGCCAGGGTTGCGCAGCCATCCTGACTTTGATGTGTTGGTCCGGTCTGCCGATTCCGCTGGATTGAAGCTTCAATGTGAAGGAGTTTATGATTGCAAGAAAGTCAACCCAGTTCTCCGTGAACGTTGGCTGGGTGTTTTCGTTGGTGCTCATTTGAAGGTCGCTCCTCAGGTTTGTTAAAGTGCCCGGAAGATTCACTGGAACGAAAGTGGACTCTCGCGAATGTACCCCGGACCTACGTTAGCCGAATCGAATGCAGTGCATAAACATATCACTGCCATTGAACTCGAGCAGTTGATTCCTGATCAGGCCGCCATGCAGATCCTATCCAAGGTTGAATTTTTGCCTACGCTGACTTTGCGGAAGAGTAGTCTGTCTGAGGCAGAAGCATTTCGCACTCGTGTGAGATCTTTCCAGCAACCGATGGTTGGGGTCATGGCTCAGTATACCCGTCAGCATTTGCTTCCTGAGACCTTGCTGCGGGAGCGTGGTTTGAAGACTCACTTGGTCCAAGACCTGAGCGTGACCAGATACTTTTCCCCTTGGGAGGTACTCGCAGCCCTTGGACACTCCAAAGTGGCTGTTCTCCCATTGTCCAACGATGATGCTTTTCGTATTGTTGGGAACGCTATTGCGGTTGGTCATTCGATGTTGTGCGTCGCCCAGACGGCACACATTGTTGAAGAGGTTTGGCCTTTCGCTAGTGTCCCGGCACTCAGTCAGTTGTATGACCTTGTGGTCGGTCATGCCATGAAGCTTACTCAGTTGAAAGTTGAGCAGGATCATGAGGTTCGTTGGTTGATCGAGATTGAGGAGGATGTCCAGTCGCCCTCTCCGAAGCGATTACGGAGTGCTCAGTCCATCGAGATTTCGCCTACCGTGCCCTTTTCGTGCGTCGAGGAGGCAAGTGAGATGCGTGGCTTGGATGATGCCGCTGATTTTCTCTGTCCTTATTCCATTTGGTCGAATTTGCGCATCCCCATTGATGAGTGCAAAGGAGGCATCGTGGTCTTGAAACACTGCAACAAGGCCTGGTGCATTTGCGTTCATGGTTCACCATCCGACACCGTGGGGGTGTTTGTGCAGACGGCCTTGCCGTTGTCATCCAAAGAGGATTTTGTGAAATTCCAGCGACGTGGAGTTGAAGTAGTTTGGGAGGACCGCATTGAGGCAGTTCCTGTCTCTGAGATTGTTTTTTGGCCCAAGGTTGTGACCGTCAACGTTTTCTGCAGTCGACCTGAGCGAATTTGGCAGGTGAAAGTTGATGTCACTTGGAAGGTCCAAACTTTGATTTCTTTTCTCGCAGGTTCAATTGGAGTGCCCGATGAATCCGTGTTGATTCAAGTGAAGAATTCCTTTCCTCCCGGGGGGTCCTTCCTTCAAGCCTGTGAGGGTGACAAGTTCGAGTTGCGGTTTCTCATGCAAACGCCCATGCAAGTCCAGCCATTGGCACGCCATGGTGATCGTGACCTTGGGTTGCGCACCGTTGATAATGGCCATGTTCGCATTTTCGCAAGACATCCTAATCACAAGTTGATTTGCACAGTGAACGTTCGTTTGACCGAAGAGTGCGCCAGTGTCATCCCACAGCTCTTTCCCGATATGTGCCAGACACATGCCTGGACGTGTGGAAGGGCAAAGGGTGAAGAAGTTGCGAAAGACACCATTGAGATGTTGTTAGATGGTGGTAACGACTGCTTCTTTGTTGCCTGGGACACTTTGGCACCGTATCGTCGAACTGCTGTGAAGATCGTCATGACCAAACACGAGGCCGGCTCGGAATTGTTTTTGCAGGCTTTCCCGGATTTGCCCACCACTCAGAGGTGGATTCGCTCTCCATGGAATATCCAAGCTTGCCTGCTGATGGTGCCAGCTCACATCGAGCTTGGCGAAATTGGGGCGTCTTTCATCGCTGGATCGCAGATGAACACGAGCATGACAGTGCATTGTGGGAGTACATTGTTCGATCCGTTGATCAAAGCACATGATGTTGGACTTGCCGACACGATCTCCTTCAAGATTGCCCCGTTGAAAGGTGGTGCATTCAAGGTCGGCCCAGATTGTGATGATGAAGATCTGATTCCATTAGCTGCTCCTAGTGGGATGTCGTCCTTTCGCTCTGCCGTTGAACAGCTCGGAGTGCAGATTGCCCCTGCCACATTCGCACGTGGAGGGTGTTTGATCCTTGTGCATTGTTCCTTGATGTGGGCCATTGAATCACCAGGTGAGTTCGTTGGCGGCCTTCATCAGTTTGTGATGAAGGCCCTTCCTCATGCACGTGAGAGTCATTTCGCCCAGTTCACGACTGTCCATGGCGACATTGGTTGGCATGATATTGTCGAAGCTTTGCCACCTCAGTATGTGGTATTCGTGCCAGAGACGTTCAACATCACATGCGTGCCTGACGCACCATGGGAAGTGATTACATTCTCGATCGATGTTACGTGGACCATTCTTTCTTGCAGATCCGCGATCTCACAACAGTGGCACTGCACTCTGGATTGCATTGAGCTGACTCACAAAAGTCTTCCGACCAGGGATGAGGACTATGTGATGGAGTTTGACTCGTCCACCTTCCACATTGGTTTTCGCATGTGCATTCCTGCTTGTGTAGGGGTGGGACAGACGATCCAGTTGTCACAGCAGTTGAAGCAATTCCAAGAGAAGGACTATGTTCGTCGCGCTTGGAAAGATCCTCGGTCCAAAAGAGTGCTGACTGATTGTGTGGGACCTTCTACTCCCTTGTGGGAGGTCTTGCAGACTTTGTGGCCTGGCATCTCTCCGACAACCCACGAAATTGGGCTTGAGGACAGTTGGAATGATGGAGGGCTCTCAGTAGCCGATTTGCTTGCAGAAGGAGTTTGCCTTGTCAGTATTCGTGATTTGAGGCCCAATGTGAAAGACGCCGTTTCCACCTGCCATTTGATGTGGGCAACACTGCAACCCTTCAATGGCAGCGTTGGGGATGAGTGTACTTCAATTTGGATGCGTACTCCCTTTCAGGCTAAGCCAGTGGTCGTCAAGGTGCCTGAGGTCATGCCGTTGGTGCAACTTACCAACCATGTGTTCAGTCACACAAAGATCGCCGAGCCTGTGCTTGTGCTATCAGGATCCCATGTGCTTTCGCCCAATGTATTGTGTGGTGACCTGGGAAGTCAGGAGGTCTTGTCCTTTCGACTGTTTCCCATCAAGGGAGGAGGCAAGCCAGATGTTCCAGACAAGATCAAAGCCCTTCTCATCAGTAAGGGTGTGCCCAAGGATGTTGTCGACACCAGAGTTTCCGATTTCGCTGCCAAATGCCCGCTTTCGAGGTTCAAGGTCAGCGATGATGAAGGTGCTCTGTGGGAAGCGCTCAAGAAAGCCGCAAACGAAGCGGCCTTTCGCTTGGTCCAACACGCTGAGTTGAAAGCTTGGGTGAAGGAACAAAAAGGGGGCACCCAAAAGCCACCTTCCTCGTCCAAAACCCGTGTGCAGAAGCCTCTCCGGTCAGAGAGCGATTTTCGCCAGTTGCAGGAGATTGTCATTGATGTCGGCTTGTTTCGTGATGCGGACCAGACTATCCCACAGTTGGAGGTCACCGACTTTGATCGGGATGGACGTGGACTTGCTATCATGAACGTTGAGCAAGCTGCACCTTTCATTGGTAACAAAAGCCTTTCTGCCGATGCATTGGCCATTTTGGTAGTTGACCAGAATTTGCGTGGCTTCCGTGAAGATGATTTGGTGACTGTTCCTGCCCATACCAAGGAAGGGAAGCCCATTGTTGTTCATGCAGCGTTGATCCAATGTGGCGATCGCCCGGTGTCATTCACGAGCAATT